AACAAGAAGGTGAAAGACCGCCGAAGTTCGCCCGCATTTCACCCGCTTGTTCCCGCTTGGGCGACGCCGCTGCGCCCGACTCCGATCGAGCGTCACGCGGGGGCGTGCTTGGGGTTCCGAACGGCCGCGGCGGCGGCGGCAGTGACGGCAACCGTGGGCCACACGAAACGCCACAACAGCAGTCATGCCGGAACACCGCTAACCAAAACGGAAGAGGACATGGCTCGTACGGGTCCGTGGGCGGACCGCATAGGGGCGAGCGCTGCAGACTCGGTGGTAATGGTGACGATGAGCAGCGAGGAAGGGGGCCCGTGGAGAGGGAAGAGAGTGGGGGGGAGAGCCCGTTTCCCGATCCTGAGGGCGACTGCACGTTGCTGCGCCAGGTGGACGATTTCCTCCTGGTGAGTGATGATGGGGTGCGGTATTCTTATTGTATCGTTAGGTTTCGGGCCGGTCGCCCCGGTTGGTCAGCTACGGTGCAACCTCGGAGCCTTCTGGCTTTCCTAGGTGTTTGGTTCAAATGTCTTTGGCGTGAAAACATTGTGAAAAAAGCGATGACATGTGTCACACAAAACCGACGGAAAGAACTGCTGAACTTGAAGTTGCAAGCACCGCCGACGGATTCAACAACACATGCCAATACTTGAAAACAAATGCCTTTGGTGACAAGCGATATTTACGAGAGGTGATGCGTCAACCTCTCTATTGCGTCTTCCTCTCGCGGGGCCGCCCAGATCTCTACGAGCAAGGCTAAGGCCGAGTCCTTCGTAAGGGTGATGCACGACGAGGTCAAGACGGGAGACTGGGGCTTTAGTGTGCACCAAGCGAAGGTGACGCGATGAGCCCCCTGTCCGGTTGACTTGAGGATCATTCTCTCCAGTTTATATTTATACCACGTGTCTAAACTTAGACAGGAGTTCGCGCGCTTTTGAAAATTGTCGGCGAGGGTTGTGGTTGTCGTCGTCGTTGATGCTGCTGTTGTCCCCATATTGATGAACGCTTTGATCCCTAAGCAGTACCCTCCTCTGCCGCACTACCCTAACCGGTAAAGATACAGTAAATTCACATCTCGCGTAGATGGAAGAAGATATTAAGGTTCTTCCTTAGCTAACCTGGTTCAAGTCCGCAGGTGTTATTGGTTGCAGGTGGCCGGAAGTGGCCGGAAGTTCTTTTTTGTTTCCCATCGGGGAAATCGACAAAATGGGGCACGCCCCGGGTATTTTCGGAACCAAGTGGGGCATGACTTTTTTCGGTGCGGGGCGCATCACCTGACACCCGGTAAGCACCTCATTGTTTTTTGTTTAATGTTCTTTTATTTTCCTCGTCATCGCCTGTCCAGACGCTGGTAAACTTCGACATGGTCTTGGAGAGCAGAAAGGGAGGAGGGGGGCCAGGACAACCGCCCGTTCGGAGACAGGTGGATGCTTCAGTTTGGGCTGGTGGCCTGTGAATAGTAGACGCGAAGCCCAGAACCAGTGCTGCTTTGTTGAGAGAGAAAGTGGAAAGTGCGGAATTGTCTTTACCCTACGAATTGCCAGCATTGCAAGTCCAACGAGAAACACGTTCCTGTCTCAGATTCCTCTCCCTACATGCGTATCCCGCTGCAAGTGCCACTATATTTTTTGTGTATTTTGCTGGGTTTGGTGCCACTATTTTTTGTTTATTTTGCTGGGGGTATGTATCCAAGCCCGATGTCACGCTGACCAGCAATGTTGAGCTGGCGACGATTTCGTTCCATTGCTGTCTGGTGACTTGCACACACGTGCGCATCGACGGCGTGGCAGTTTCGCGTTCGATGCATACATCCCCTCTCAGCCGTACCCTGTGTACATGGCACAATATATTTCCGTCGAGGCTCCGTGGGGGAAACAAACCACAGCGTGAACCACCAGGGGGGTACGCGACAATCTCCCGCGGTTTGTTGGCTGCGGTTCACCCTGCCGTCTCGTGTCAGGTACGACGGGTTGAAGGCGACATGTTCCCCTGGTGCGGCGTGCGCTTCGACACCCGAACGTGCGAAGTCATGGCCAACTACTCCAGGTACACAGCAGTACACACGCCAAGGCTTCTTCCGGAGGCCGCCAACGCTGGCCGGAAGAACGTGATCACAGTCGAGTTGGCTAGATTCATTTTGACTGCTCTCTTGCGATACAATGGGGGTCCCTGTTTAGTGACGGTTGAATAGCGCCAACGCCCGGTATGGTGGCGTTGTTGTCGGCGGGCAAACACTGAATTTCTAAGTCATTGTCAGTACTTTGGAACAGTGCCAGTCCGGTATAGAGCGGGTGAATCTTCTGGGCACATGCGTACCGGCACTGTAAACAGGGACCCCAACTGCAGGCGCATTTGCGGCGTTGTAATCGCGAAAGAGCAAGCCTCTCATTCAAAGGGAGGGTTACCGCCTTGTGGAAGGTTCGCCGGCACACTCGAAGGAGAAGTAGGGTTTCATCCACCTCTCCCTTGTGATAGCGCACAAACTATTCATGGGACAGAGCTAAACACAGCCTCGAAGCCACTGTTGAAGCGGTGAAAGACACACAAGCCGTCGCTGATTTGTTCTCTGGGTGTTGCGCTGATGTTGGTACTACGAATGCTGGTATCACCCGCTCTCCCGCCATCACCCACGACGACCGTTGACATCGCCACCCGCCACGGCGTCAAGGTACTCGAAGGCCGGGGTGGCGGAGTCGTTGACGGTGGACTCGAGGCGCGCCGGCGCGTGCCTGGTGGGCAAGATGAAGCGGTTCCTGTCGCCCAAGTGCCACGCCCTCATGCTCGACGAGGGGGAGCACCTCGGGATCAACTCCAGGAACACCGTGCTGCTCAACGTGTGAGTTTTGTTCCCGATCGCCAGACCACATTTCGCCGTTTTCTGGAAAACACACGCGCCGTGTTATTTTTGTTCGTTGGAGCACAATTCTACTTGTTCGCATGCGTGTTTTGGCCGCCGCTGCCGCTGAGCGATACCTGTTGTCGTAATTGAGAACACCAATGTTTGCTTTTGAAGTGGATCGTGCTACGTGATTGCGTGCTTTTGGAGGGAGGGTCAGCTTGTGGGTCTTGGGTGCAACACCCTACACTTGCGCTACATTGCTGTAGGGGTGGATTTCTCGTCTCGCCCGGCCATTGAACACACCGCATCCCACCGTGCCTTGAGATGAACATTTTATTCTGCCCACAAGGCGTTGACAAGCTAACCCTAACCCCTGAAAAAACACCGCCGCCCTCTCAATTTCTGAGGTGGCAGCTGTGATTTCACGCTTGAGACGAAAGGTTCGCAAACGAAAAGTACGTGCACAGTTTGTGGCAGACGGACTTATGTACCTCCATGTACGCGCCGAACTTATACTTCCTTCAAGGTTCACTTCCAACGTTTGTAATGAACAGATTACCCCTTCAGGGCACCCCACCTTAGCGTCAGAAAGCGATGCCAAGTCGGCCATTAACCCTTATGTGACTACACCCACGAATGAGCTCCGTTCCCAGCTCCGATCACTTTGGGTGCCGAAAGATCGCCGTTGTGCCTCGGCTAAGAGCAAAAAAACTACATAGAGACCAGCAGGGAGACACAGGCAGCCCACCCCAAAAGCGCGCTTATCAGCAATGCGCACAGGACTCACATAGTACAACACTCTTCACCCATGCCTCATCTCGCTGACGTGGGGCAGATATCCTTTCCAGATCCAATCTACTGCCTATACCGGTACCGCTGTAGTCTGAGATTCAAACGCACAATACCACCGGAGAGGGTACATACAGCACCCTGAACATGTGGTCAACCCGGTGCCGCATCCGCGGGGGAGAGCAGAGAAAGCGCACGCCGTACCCGATGCTAACGTACTGCCTCGGTGCTTGATGTTGTTGTGGTTGCAGTGCGTGTGGTTCCCAGTATTGGGAGTGAAGGGTGGTTCGTCTGCTGTGTGCAAAATTTCGCTCAAAGGCAAGGGTTTTCGGGACTACAGCTCCGATCACAGCTCCGATCACAGCTCTCTATTTGTAGTACAGAACAGTAAAAATTATCACGATTTTTATGCATTTTGTGCGATAGTGGATGATGGTCTCGATTCTCTGATGAGTGGGCCGTTTTTTTGGTCGATCTGGCGCTTCTGTGAGGCGGTTTCCCGTCAGCCTCTTCGCATCTAGCGCCGCTAGCGTATACATGCGCTTGCCGTATGCTCTGTCCAAGGATGAGGTGGAGAACATGTGCCAACAGGTATTGCTTGCACAGGTACATCCTCTGTGCGGACGGTTGCTGTCGGAGACATGCATGCACACCTGCTCAGAAACTACTGCTGCTGCTGTAGTCTATTTCTTTCCGCATAACTGCTACTGCTCTTCAGCAGTAGTACTACTGTACTCCTGTTCGTCACCCTTACATATACCGCGTCCCCATCCCTGTGAGCCCCACACACGGACCCACTGCTGCACCATCCTTGCCGCCGTGATTTATGGGTGTACACGCATGCTTGGAAGATCTTTGAACGCAGAGAACCAGCTGTGGGGAAAAAAACATAAAGATCCAAATTAACCCAGTCACGTAAGGGTTAATGCCATTTGGCCATGGTCTACCTACGTGTGAAACAGGAACACCAACTCGACTTGATGGTTCATGCTCTCCTGTGTTCAAGCTTTCTCGAAGTGGTCACGGGGTCGATAGGCAGGCAGTCCATGCTCCACGAACTGGCGATGTGCTTCAGTCATGATTCTTCGACTACCGCTTGTTGATATCATTCTACTCTTTACGTGGGAGCTATGAACCATCGTTGGGTTCCTCCAATTTGCGGTGTGACGGTCCACTTTTTTTCTTTCAGGTACGAGATGCTGTTGGTGTGTGCGGCCAAAACGGCCACTTCCGCTCTCCGTTTACCTCGTGGTGCCGCTGGCAACGCCTCCTTGCTGTCGAACGGTGCTCTCGAGACGACGGCCTACGCCTACAGCCTGATCCAGAGCCGCTCCAACAGGCGCAAGGGGAGTTTTGGCACCTCCAGAGGAGTGCGGTGCGTCTGCAAGGTGCGAGCAACGTTGGCGTAGCGCGTGCCGACATAGAAATCATGAGAAGGGGAGATGGAGGGAAGAGGGAGGGAAGAGGGAGCGAGAGATACAGAGATACAGAGAGACAGAGACAGAGGCATAGGCACAGACAGACAGAGAGCGAGGGATGGAGACACGGGAACTTTTCTTTGTACACCGGATTGCAACACGAAGAACCGAATCCTTCGGAACCTTTTGCGAGTGCCATTTCCAGCAGAAGTAAGAGGACCGGGCGTCCCAAGGTTTCGGAAGTTGTCCAACCAGTTGATGTAGGTTCTACGGTGTACTTGGAACATTTTGGACCTATGGAGCAGACGGAGACAACGTGCATGCAGGCCAGCAGACCAAAGCAGACTGGATGTGGTAGGGGTGTTAGTGGATGCTTTTGTGGGGGCCCCGTAGGATGCGCCGAAAACGAACGGCGCGATTGGTTGTTATTGTCGGCGGCAGGCACATTCTGCGTCGACGGCTTCCCGTGGACTTAAGGCGATGCCCCAGAAACGTTTTCGCGCTTATTGGCGCAGCGCCGAAGCGCTGACTACTTCCCCCCTCCCTCACCCCCGATGTTCCGATATTCTCCTGCTCAGCTTTGCATGCATCCCAAGCCCGTGGCTGTGGTCAACAACCTACAGGATGAACACTCATAAGCACCCCCTCCCGCCTTCTATAATAGACAAATGGACGGTGAAACCTGATGATCACTCGGAAAGCTGGAAGTGCTGTGGCTCACTGGAGCCGCGGTGGTCCTCCATTTCGGTCTCCAAAGATGCAACAGTCTTGGGAAGGGAAACGGATCGCATCCCGAGGTTGGGATAAATAGTCTGGTCCGGTGAGAACCCGGTGTGCTTCGTCCCGGTTTTGCAAGGATGCGACGTCAATGGCCTAACGACTACAGCATGTACGAGTCCCCCCCCCCCCCCCCCTTTGCGTACTTGCTTTTTCCAGATTCATCGTTTCGAGGTGACCTGGCTTGGCCTCCACGCCTTCAGGGAGGTGTTCGGCGCCTTCGCGATGAAGGACCGCGGGTTCGCCCGCTGCAAGCTGGACGTAGAGAGAGCCCTCAGGGAAACTGCCGGTTCTCGGGGAGGAGGCTTCGAAGGGTTCAGCAGAAAAGTTCGCCAGGGCAAGGAGGGTGCGGCCGCTGCAGGCTGCGAGGAGGGAGCGACATCCGACACGCAGCATGGGGTGCGACGCGGCAGGGCGCACGGCCGGCTTCAACGTGTCGTGCGCTCGCCGGACGCGCTGTCGTTGCTGCAAACGCTCACGTCGTAAGCACGCGCGTAACAATAGCCGGGCAGAACGAATGTTTTCCAGGTATCCCGCGGAGCCGGGAAAATAGGGGGTACCTAACCGCAAGACCAAAGGGGGTTCTAGGGTCGCGGGGTTTTCACCGTGGTGTTGATCGTGGTGTATGTGCATCTGGGTTTGCACGACAGTTTTCTGAGTGGATAGGGCGGGCCCGGATAGAGGTCATCCGTCTCGAGAGAGATTGTGCACGCGGGTGAAACCAAGCGTGTTTTCCCCTTGCATTGTCTAGCTGAATCTTAGAAGTATTCTTACCCTGTCAAAGGGCATTTATTCCGGGCGCCGGTCATCACCTTTCGGTATATGTTTTACGCACAAGGACCTGTTTTTGTTTTTCGTTGTCGGCCTTTCCTCTTGTGATACTTAAGGTTGGAAGTTTTTTTTTTGTGACTAAACGATTTAGCGGTCCTTCCTTCCCCTGACGTGCGGACCTGCAGCGCGGCATCCATTGTCTGCGCGGTGGCCAACAAATCGCTGCTACTGAACGTTACCGGGGAATCCGATCCCATGAGGTGTTCTGTAGGAGCACGGGTTCGTATTCATAGCAACGGCATTCTCATCAACGGTGACCACGTCCCTGATCAGACGAGGACCCTGCTCAGGTCTCGGAGGTGTTGTTGTGTCCGCGTCGAGGACGGCTACGACAATACTTCCAAGCTCTTGTCTCGAGGGGTGCGTTCTGTTGACAGCGTGCAACTATTATAGCAGGGTCGGCTGTGGGCGGATGGGCACAAGAGATACCTCGAAGAAGCTGCTGCAAATTGAACACGAGGTGGCCCTGCCTGCGTTGGTGTCGACCTGCGCGTTTGCCGTTTGAACGAAGGATATACCGAGCGCCGTGGGGTGTATTAAAAACCTCTCTGTCCTGATGGAGGTATATGTGACGCCTCTTGGCCCCTGCGGCCGGTTCCTCAAATATTGTCACATTGGCTGGTCTCTGCGAGTATCACGTCTCCGAGCCTGAATTTGTTTTGTGTGTGTCCTCATGTTGGGGGAGTGACACCTCATCAAAGCTGGTTGACGGTTGTACCATGATCGTTTGGTAGCGCAGTCCCTTCTCGAATCCGATGGAGTCGGAGAAGCTTCGTGCGTTTTCGGCCATCAAGAACTGCTGTCCGCAACGATGGTTGCTGGCACCAACGGTGAGGTTGGTTCCGACACGGAGTAGTATGTACGACATCGACGTCCACGGAAGCTGGTCGGGTCGCATGCTCGCCAGCGTCAGGACTACATGTATATAACCGCTTCCCACTGCAGTGGGGGGCGGTTGAGCGACTCCTGTACTGTCACGACGAAATGTGGCCTCTAAGTCCCAAAATCTGACTAAGCGGGATCGTGTGCAGCCGCCATAGCGGCCGTGAACCATAACAAAATTGGGAAAATAAATCGCTTCACGGAATTTCAGGCGCGCTCGTCAAACTCTTGATGACATAGTCATACGTTTGCCGTCTTGCCAAGGTAGAAAGCATTTATGCATTCTAGTACACGGAAAAATAGCAAGCTTGTTCTACCCTCGGAATGAACTGTTCAGAACGCGTCTATATGGTACCAGTACAGAAAAGCCGTGTCCCGTGCGTTTCGTCTTGACCCACGTGCTGAACAATGTGCCCCTACATGACGACGTGGTACACGCAGTGGCCCGATCGGCGAACTGTCGAGAATGACCAAGGGGAGAGGGGGATAAAACCGACGACAACAACCTACATCAGCAAGGTTGGCCCCCAAAGATGAACAATACGGATAACATGCGTTGCTTCAGCGCAGGACACAGGCTTGTTTCTGGAACAGTTCGGAAGAAACGTTCACTACACTTCATTCGGCGATGGTACCCGGTGAAGTGGTGCCGTGGCTCAAACCGTTGCTTGCTTCAACCGGGCAACTGACAGTCCCATAGTTCGGTTCAAGCGGCCATCTAATCAACGGAACAATCGTCGGTTCAACTCCCCGTGCCACGAACAAAGATCCATCGGTGCTCTCCACCTCCTTCTAGCATCCCCTGGCCCACTCACACACAACCATCAGTCCTACCCCACGCAATCGACGTACTGCAAACGGCACACGGGCGACTGCAAGAAACCAAATGGTGAGAGGTCATGTACACATACGGAGAGCGTATACCATACTGTAGCAGCTGATCGAAATCGGGTCCGCCGCAACGTTTGGACGGTGGACGTAAACGAGGGAGACGGCAAAGCCCGAGAGATTTTTCAATACCGGACAACAGTGACGTTCTTGCGGAACGGCTGTTAAAGCGGTGATTTAACGAGAACATTTTGATGTAGACGTCCAAGCAAATCGCGGCACCCTCTGTTGATGCTCCGCGTTCAGGAGCTGTTAGGGAAAATAGTGGAAAGACGTGCGCGGTCGTCCGTACATCGTTGCCCACTCGCTGCTGAGGTGGAGGATCGTTGGTTTTAGACGGATTCCACCGAAGCACAGTTGTGCGTCGCGAACGTTCGGGAGGAAGTGTGCGTCATCCTCAATACGTTCCCCGCAGTTCGACACAACCAAACCAAGCTATCGTGGATGTACGGGCTTGCATTCACGCACCGCCTCTGCTTGTGCATGGAAGCCCCGACATTTACAGGGTGACGGAGGCCGCCTACCACCAGGCAACTCGAAAAAAAACCGCCCGCCCTCCGCCTTTCCCTCGAACGTTGAACTGCTAGAATCGAAAAGCCATGGCACGTGTCGGCTCGTCATCACGGGGAAAGCTTCTGGTGATGGCCATCCTCCTCGTCATGTCCGTGGCCGGTGGTGAGTGAAAGTGGTTGAGGAAGACTTCCACTTCCACACATGGTAGCATCACGCGGAAACCACGCCCACGCCCTGAAGGACGAAGAAATGCAGACACTGGGCCGTGACGTAACGCGGCAATGACCCACCGCGATTTCACTTGGGACAGGTGCCCCAGTAGCCCATGATCTTCACGCCACCTCTCACGGAGCCCGCCAATTTCACAGATGTGGAAGGCCCTTTGTGGTTCTTCCCGTGTCGAATCACGGACGCTTCCCATACCAACGATTGGGGTCGCTGTCCTTGCCGTTCATGTGACCGCACAGCATATGCACCCCATACGTTCGCATAAGCATACTTCATTCCGTGACGACCATATCTCCAGGTAGGCCTTCCTCGCCGACCAAGCCGCCAACGCGCCAGCATAGCTGCGCAGTCTTCCACCCGGGCATGGAAGGACGCGTCGGCCACAACGACAACGGCACGGTCTGTTGCCCGGTGAGGATTGTTGTTGACTCTACGAGGATTGTGCCAGATCAAATTGGATGACGGTGGTGCCCGGTGACGGCCGTTTACACCCCAAAACCGCCCGTCACTTGCACATGCTGCACGTTCGGACCTGTTAAAGAGCTCCGTCGCTTCGACACCAACAACCCTCGCCAAACATCTACTGCCGTAATTGCTCCTCTATGCCGACAGCTGGGATGCGGGGAGTGCGGTGGCATTGAATGCAGGAAGAACCTACCCCGCGGATTGAGCGGGGAGGACTGCTGCGTCACCGGTGTCCTCCAGAGCCAGGGCCGGTGCTCCGACCGTGGTGCTAAAGCACCGTGCATCATCAAACGAGGACCCGGTAAGTCCAGGGAGCACAAGGGGAAAGGCTTGAAACTTGGTCGGTCGGAACCGTGATATTTCGTTGTCCGTCTATGTAGATGCGGCCGAGAAACCAACGGCCGTGTCCTCGGCACGTCTGGACGTCCAAGTCGGAGGCAGCACGAACGTACCGAATCGGGTATGGCTTACACTAAAGAAGTGCGCCCCGAGGGTATCAGAAAACGAAGTTATGCCTTGGGTACGTTGAAGACTCACGGACGTATGTAGAATGGTCGTTGTGGTTGGATGGGCTAAGGGATAAACCGGCCTGTCCAACACACACTACGCAACCAGTATTTCGCGACATGGTTCGGGAGTGGGAACTCTGTCGGTGTACATGGCGCAGCCCGACCATATGTCACGTGGCGTGTCGCCTTGGTATGAATTCTCATGTCCAAGAGAGAGGAACCGGACGATGCATACGTACTGTGTACTGTGTCGTGAAGCACAACACAGGACGCGCTCGTGGGGAAAAATCACATGCGTGTATGGTAAGCATCGTGTTGGTTAGCGAGTCGACCAGACGCCGTGATTGCCGTCTCGATTCACCAGAGCTATCGACCAAGCTTGGGTCGCTCTGGTGGCAACACGCTTGGCCGCTAGCGCCCGCACTGTCGCTTGACTCCTGCTGCAAACACGTCAACCCGCACTGTGTCCTGAGCGACCCTCTGGTCGTGCGTATGTGCTAAAGGGGCATCAGAGTTTCACAAGACTTCACACAGCGTACACAGCAGTTATAGGGCGAATATTGCTCGCCGTGAGCGTTTTTGGGTTCCATCGGCTCATCTTTCTCCGCAGGCGCCAGTTTGCCCCCCATATCATTGTTCCGACCGATGTATCTCCCCGAGACACGCTCTCGTTGCACTCTTCCGTCTGATGCTCTACTGATAAGACCCACGAACCTCGTTGGCACCGTGTCGAGTGTCAAAACGGCACGCGCTACAACTATGTTTGATATTCGAAAGTAGCACCGTGGTGTACACGTGCACGTCGATGCGTACCAACGAGCGAACGTGTGCCCAGCGCGTGTGGCCTTCAAAGGTATTCCGCGGCAAACAGTCATCACACACCTTAAGTACATTCCATCACCACCCCATTCTCTAGGGAAGCCTTCCCGGCCGACGAAACCGGGCCCGCCCAAGAAGAAGCCGAGCCCCCCCAAGAAAAAGCCGAGCCCACCTCAGAAGAGTTGCCACGTCTACCACCCGGGCATGAAAGGACGCGTCGGCCACAACGACGAGGGCACGGTCTGCTGCCCGGTGAGGAATAGTCCCGATTTGAGGACAAGTGTACATGCCGACTTCAATAGCAATCGCATTGCTCGTTGGTGCTGAATGAACGCATAGACCTGCTGAAGAGCCCCGTGGCTCAAAATCCCCTGGAACGCGGTGTAACGCTGGTGAAAACCCC